AGGTATCCAGTTAAGCACTAGATATCCAAAGATAAACAGACCCTGGTCCTCAAAGAGTCAGCATCAAAGAGGGAGATGAATGAATCAGCATCAATTGCAGCAGCTCCCTAACATCTGGTATTATTTGATTGGTCACCCTTTCTCCTCCTATCCAGACTATGTAAATAGATTTCTGTGTACTTTGCAAAGTCATATTGTAGGCTACTGACTAATTCCTTAGCTCGGTGAGTTGACCACACTTTCCACAGTGCTAGATCAAGAGCACAACTGAGAAACCACCCTCTTCCAGCCCCCTCCCCTTCTGTGATTACACTCCACTCTCTCCTCTCCCCTGAAGCTAATACTTACTATTCCTGGACACCCTAGTTTAACGGTTAACACTGCCCAGACCTTCTGAGAACCCCAGCCTGGGAGAAGAGTTACTCTCTAGGTTCCTCTGATGAAAGCCCTCCTCAGGATTATTCTGAGACAGACTTGCCCACCCCTCAGAACTGCACCATGCATTTCTCTTCTTAGGCATTTGACATTTGACCTCCCGAGCTGATGATTGGGTGGAAGTGACCAACCTTCCCCCAAACCCTCCTTCCCAGGCTTCCTGCATCCTGTCTAGGAAGCTGTGGTACCCTGTGGCTGCCCTTTTACCTCCTGCTATCCTATCAGGCTGTTCCTTCCACCACTGGAACGTCAAGTCTCAGACCCTCGATAGTCCTCACGACCTCGGATTCATCAGATCCATGTTCTCGTTTCCAAGGAAATTTTTATTTCCAAGGAAACAATACTTTCTAACCAGCCATAAAATTCACACCCTTACCATGTTATAGGTTGGTATTCTCCTCACCTGGCCCCATCTCCAATCAGGAAGTAAATGCTTCAAGGAAAAGATTATATTGACAGAGCCAAAGAACCTAGAGGAGTGACTGACAGATGCATAGTATCTAATTAATAACTTCTTAATAAGTGAATTGTAAAATGTGGTTTTCTTACATGCAAACACTTGTCAAGAGCCACACTCTGGTCAGCAATTATCTAAGCCAGCCCCTCCTGTGAGGCTACTCATACTCTTTCCAGCACAGGATCCAGATCTCAGCAAATAAGCCACATTTCTGTGAATGGAATCCCACTGGATGGTGACCACTGCTATTTGGTAACAAAGAAACAAAACAACCTCTCAAAATTTGAAGTCTTCTTTCACAGGCTGGTGTGGGACAGACCAAGACACCTTTCACCTTTCCAAATATGTCAAACACACTCTGGGAGAGCCAGTTTTGCAAAAAACAGTGTGTTGCACAATCACAGAATTCTCCCACACTCATGGTGTGACTACACACTCCCAGGCAGCTTTTTCACAAACCATAGGGATGGGGGAAAAATCCATACTAAAGGTTACAGAGATGCAAGACACCTGCAGGACTGTTAACCAATTTCATTTCTTCTTGCTGGGAGCATTTTAAAAATCAAACTGTGTTTCTTTGGAAGACTAATTTTTATTTCCATAAATTATTTTTAAGACATTCTTAAGTAATTCCACTTCAACCAGTTGGAAATCTATGTTAAGTGGATAAAATAAATTTAAAAGCCTTTAGGAGCTGTTATGTATAGCTCAGTAGTACATACCTATGCTCAAGGACCAGGGAACTATTTGTACCAAACACTCTTAAAGCGCCAGGGAAACACCCACCCACTTCCTTGGGGACCAGAGAGATAGTGCTTATAAAATTGGCTTTGAAGCCAGGATGTCCCAACTGAAAGCTATGCCTCTCTAACTTAATGGTTATGCCTCTTTATTAGTCACTGTCTTCTTTTGCAAGCTGGGGATCACGGCCTACCTTTCTCCTGATTCTTGTTTTGAAATAAACCAATTTATAGAAAAAGACAACGGAGCAGAGAATCAGCCCTACTACGCTGACATAGGAGATTCAGCATATTGCTTGAGGTCTTTATCTTCAGGTGCTGGCTTCACTTTTTAGCCCAGGGCACACAGACTTTGGGACAGCAGATCAAAACCTGGGGGCTTCATTAGCATATGCAAAGTTGGGCGTGGACTTCGATTCAGCAGGAGTGAACCAAAGGCCAAGTCCACCTTTACTTGAGTTCGTGCACCTACTTACCTGAAGGTGCTAGATGTCCGGAGCAAGTGAGCAACACCCGCTTCCATAGGTAAGACCTTCCACGGAGTGGGATTAATTGAAGAAACTCTAAGAACCCGGGGTCACCTCCGAGGGCTAGCTTGGAGGAGGGGTGGGGGGTGGAAGACTGCGGAGGAGTGTGCTTTACGCATGCGTCAGCCTACAGAGCCGCTGGCTTCCGCGCCTGGGGGCCTTCTGTGATCTGCTGTGTTCCTCCTTGCTTGCTGGCACCCACCCAAGTTAGCCTAGCCAGGATTTCTGTACAACCCTCCGCAAGAGTAAATTAAGAAAAAAAAACATTCTGGTCTAGTGCCAGCAGCTGCCATGGTCACACCCGGCTTCCCAGGTTTTAACTAAAAGCAGTTTTTGCACCGAATGCTAAATCCCAAGCCAAAAAAAATGAAAAGTTTCTTCCAAAGGAGGAAAGGAAAGGCTAACTTTAAAGTTAAAGGAACCAAGACTGTTGAGAACCATTTTAATAGAAACGAGAACAAAACCATGTCTCTATCAAGGCGGTGCCTCTGCGGTAAAGAAATATTTTCTGAAATTGGGAAGAGCCCTGATTCTACCAGGACACACACACACACACACACACACACACACACACACACAGAAACGAGAACAAAACCATGTCTCTATCAAGGCGGTGCCTCTGCGGTAAAGAAATATTTTCTGAAATTGGGAAGAGCCCTGATTCTACCAGGACACACACACACACACACACACACACACACACACACACACACACACACACAGAAACGAGAACAAAACCATGTCTCTATCAAGGCGGTGCCTCTGCGGTAAAGAAATATTTTCTGAAATTGGGAAGAGCCCTGATTCTACCAGGACACACACACACACACACACACACACACACACACACTGCTGTGTCCTAAGGCAAACAGAACTTTTTTATTAAGCATACATTTTAAATAGACCTAGACATTAACTAATTTTCCAAATATGTTTTTCTTCATGTTGCCCCAGTAGTAGCAGAAATGGAAAACATACCAATTTTGTTCAATCAGTTTTTCTAGTGGAGTGACTTCTGTAATGGAAAATGCAACTCAATAAATTCAAGAATGTCAAAGGACAACATTTGAGCAATTTAATTTAATGGTCCAGGAGGGTTCTAGAACACTTTGTTGGGCTGGACAGACAGGTGGACAAGTCATTTCAGGGTTACTATCTCTACATGGGGGTGATAGAAGTAGATAAATAGGAAAATAAGTGACAGGTTAACTGCCGGGAACTACTTTTCTGTAAGAATTAACTCAGAGGGAACTTCATTGTTCAGCTAACAGCTTAGCCACACCATAGTAACACAGGACTTTGGCATGAATGACTCCTGAGTTTTAGCCAGTCTGTGGGGGCCTAGTCCTGGCACTTCATAAGAAAACAATGGCCTCTGTAATTTTTTTATCTAACAGACATAAATAGTTAAAGACAAATTTATTATTCTGCCATGAACATAAAGTTTTCTGCTCTTTGCCTGTTTGAAATTTGCCTGTTTCCTTAAACTGGGAGAACCCAGAAGCATTCTGGTAGAATCTATAATATTGCTTACATGAGACGGAGTCTTAGCTTGTCATATGCCAAGGTCTGGATGGAATGCTTCCACCACACTGTTGTCACCTGAGCCATCCCCCCGGCCCAATCTTCTGTATTTTAGGAGAAGTTAGACACATGACAAACAAAGCCAGAGCCAGGAGGAACACAGAGGTTCAGATTTCATAGTCAAGATCTTTCCACAGACCCACACTGCCTCTGCAGACTCAAACCTGATGAAGGAGTCAAACAAACAAGAAATAAAACCCCCAGCTTGGGAGAGTTTGCAGCTAAGACAGGCAGACAGGTTAACAACTTCAAGGGAGCCTTCCTGGGTCAAGGATAAACAAAGATAAAGGTGTTAATGATTTTAAGTAGATAGGAAGGACACTAGTAATGGAAAGAGATTCCAAAGGATGGATACATTCATGGAACAGGAACATTGAATATTGAGTAATGAAATGCATATTGGGATAATTGATACTAATTGCTATAAAAGAAGAGTATTTCCCCTTCCCTAGATAAAGTGTATTTGCATAGCTATGGACAAGAAGTTTTTTCACAAAGTTATCAGTTCCTACAATACAGAGCTATAAAATAGATGGACCGATCTATACTTTTTTCCCTGAAACACAATTTTTCTCTCACCCTCATTGGATATTTTTGTCAGGTCCTTGAGACCCTTCCAGCTCCACATGGAGGTTGTATTGGTTGACTTTCTGGCTAAGCTGCTCCCCACTTTATAACTTTGCTAGTTAGACATCTCCCTCCAGTTAAGTCAAGCCATAGACACGCAGAGAATAAACAGCCGTGGGGAGATGCCGGACCCAAATATAAAGAGTACATGACAAAGTAGAGCCTGGAATGTGTGTTTCAAATATCATGTGCACTTTGACAGTGGCGTTGACCCAAAGTAAAGCCATTCTGTCATGTTTATTGAGTATCTGGGCCCAGTGCACACCCTTTGAATCTGTGCAGATTGCTTCTTCCCACAGCTGAGATCAGGGAGTTGACATGAAGCCTTAACAGTGAGTTTGGGGCTCCTTCCTGCTTTTCTCAGTGCTGAGTCACATAGTACAGTATTCTAGAGAAACTGGATGACTTTAATAATACCATTCAGACTGAAATGGAGCTTGTTTTGAATTTGCAGACCTCAGTAATCATTTGTGTTTCAGGAAGCTCTGAGCCTAGGTTTATTTACCAGGGTTCCAAAAGGGGTGGAGGGGTGTGCACTCTGGAGCAATGAGCCTTCCGGAAGGGGCCAGGGCCATTGCCCTGGCAGATTGACTCTTAAGGAAAGCCTTCCTCCCAACCTAAAGTGCTATGCAGCTGGCTGTGCTTCTCAGCAAATCGAAGGAGTGGAAGTGACTAAGGCGGGAAGCCAGTCCCCAACTCAGGACGCTGAAGAAAGAGGTACTTGAGCTGTTGGAATTAGTCTGAAGGGGCCAAACGTGGGCTTCTCCATTTGTCCTAGATTTGACTTGTGCTTCTGTTTCTGCTCTAAATTTCAAGGATAACCCCAAGCTCAAAGACAGTGGGCAGTTTGCCCTCGTGTGAACTAAAATTACCACAATCACTGAGGGCCGCTGTAAAACGCTTTGGAGGGCGGAGTGGGAGGCTGCCTTTCATCATATCAAGGTGTGTAACTAACTTACTTTCAACACAGACAACAGATTTAAGTTTGAGTGGTTTTAATTAAACCCCCACTTGTAATTAACTCATTAAGGTTCAGGATATTTAATAACCCAGAAAGTGTCCCCATGGAGCCACTCCTCTTCCCAGCTCCGTCTCAGGGCTTTGGTTTCAGTCAACACAAAGTACTGTAGTTTTGCCTGCTTAGGAACAAGGTATAAATGGAATTCCTCAACACGTCCTTTTTGTGTCTGCATTCCTTTGTGGAACACGGTGTTTGAGGTTAATTTACTTTTATCCCGTGTGTGTGTGTGTGTGTGTGTGTGTGTGTGTGTGTGTGTGTGTCATATACATATGGGAGAATCTTTGAGTATGGCCTTCCTATGCTAAGATGTACCTTATGAGTCTGTACTACATAAGTTTGAAAAAAAAACCCACAGCCAAGCTGGGGAGAGAGCATTCTTTTCTCTACACAAACTTCCATGTTCTCTGTTGCTCTTGTCCCCTCCCCTAACCCAATCCAAGGCAGTCGCCAATCTACTCCTTGTCTCTTCAGGTCAGTCTTGCTTGCCTGTGAGCCTGTGAGTGTGGAGGGTGGGGTCTTCTGGAAGAGCATAATGACTTACAAATCCATCCTAGTCTTGCAGGAGTGTGGTCCATTGCTACTGGTTGGTAAAGAGCATACTGTGTGTCACACTCGTTTCCCCCATTTGACAGGCACTCCCGCTGCCTCTGAGTTTTCACCACATAATGAAACCATGAACTTACGTGGATGGCTTGCCAAATGGTGTTCAAAAAACGCTGGCACTGTTTTAGCCTTCCGCAAAGCAATGTATACACATTCATTAACTTGAAACCCTTCCCAGCATTCGGTACGCTTGCTCATCAGTTTTCCTTTAGCCATACCAGTGACTGTGAGTCATCAAGGGCAGTTTTGGTGTCTGATTTCTGAAAACTTTCTGAAGAGTAACTCTCTATACTTCCAGACAGCCATATTTTTGTAAAGCTTTCAGAACTCAGCCTCATCTGTTATCCCTGAGTTGTGGAAATTTAGTACACATTTTGGATGGCATTCCTTTGGCAGGACACTGGTACTATGGCTGTTTTCTCTTAGGTTTATAGCTTCCCTCACAATTTTTGAACAGTATCTCCTGATGAGAAAATATGTGTTTTTTGCTTTATAAAATTATATTCCTCTCCTTTCCTTCTTGTTCCTTTCAAAGTTAGTCTTTTTTTTTTTTTTTTTTCATTTCTTTGGAATATTTACCAGTTCTTTGGTCTCAAAGATCTGTTTTCCTCTGGGTATTCTGTAACAGTGTTACACTTTATATATCAAATTGGTTTTTACATACAGGGAGGTCATGACAGTGAAAGACATTTTTAAATTTGACCAGTCACAGCTAAAATACAGTAGCTTAGGTAGAAGTGGGCAGATTCATGCTCCAATCCAGGTTTTGCATCACAGGGATAGATGCTGGCAGTAGCCTGGCATCCTTTGCCCATGCCTCCTCCAGCAGATCCGCCTTGATTAACTAATACCTGCAGGCCTTTGCAGATTGGACTATTCCACTCAAAGTTAAATTCTCCCCGTTTTAGTAATGAGTAGAGGGAAAAGCACACTTAGCTTTTATGATCTGATATCAGTTCAAAGTAACTATTTCAGTTTTTGCTAATCAGACTTCCAGTTTGTACCTGTCCAGTGAGAGAGTTAACTGGTAGTGTTGAAAGCCTAGGAGATGGGGTTTTTAGAGAACGCAGCTGGTACAAAAGAAAATATGCTACATAAGATAACTATTTTTATTAAACCATTAATAAGATAGGAAGGGAGTCCCAGCAGGCCTGGAGGAATCTCAGGAAATGGGAAAAGGAAGCCCATGGTTTCTGGGGTGAGGGTCTGCTCAAGTTTGCATTTGACGGGATTTCTACAATGTCAGCATTGCTCACTGTTGTAACCATTTTCCAGAATACAATCACCATACTCTCTCTCTCTAAGCTGCGAAGTCCATGGAGTTGCTGACATAAATGGAAATGATAGTGACCTAATGTAATGTCACAGCAACGTTGTACAGCTGCTTAGATCCCCTTTAAAGGCTAGGTGAGGGCAAGATGTGGTGACTGAATAGGAACCTCTACCTGGACACCTGAAAGTCTACCCAGGTGCCCTGCCCTTCTAGGATGAGGGCCCACTTGAATGGTTTTGACCACTCAAAGTTCACTTTTGAAAGGTTTGTATATAAAGCCATAGTGTCTGCTATGAATTTCTGTTTGAAAACTTATTCCTCATGCTTAAAGCTAGGTTGTTAATATATGATACAAACCCTTTATTTTTTTTCTCGTAGAGAGGCTGTCAATAGATTAATAAAGCGGTAGCTGGGAAATCGCCATCACACTGAGGCAGGGTAGAGTGGATAAAAGGATCTTGGTAGGAGTTGGAGACCATGATTCTGGTCTTGATCACTGTTTCAATCCAGTGGTTAGATTATTTTTTTCATTTAGTCATCTTTGAATTATAATTACTGTGATGCTTTGATGAGAAAATAGAAAGGCACTGTACCCATAGCCAGCCACCTCCTACACATTATCTAGAAGAATGTAACCAAAGTCAAGGCCACCAAAAATGCCTCTTCCTATGAAGTCTGATCTCAGATATGAAGATATAATTAACATCTCTGTGCTCACTGTACTCCACACCAGGGGAGGTAGATGTGCTCAAATGCAGCCACCACACAATAAGACTGGTTGTGTTTGTCCTTTACTTTTTAGGCAGTGACTAAGAAGATCTTGTGCTTTATGTTGATTGGGTTTGAACTTCAACCAGTGTCAACATTAGGAAAACTGTGTGAAGTGCTAATGACACAGACATGTGCCCCACCCACCCCCACGGATAATCTGCTAGGACACATTTCGAGAAGAGCCCACCCATAATGAAAACTGGAGTGATTGTCTTAGAAGCCACGCCTCCCATTTCCAAATATAACTGGCCCCAGTGCAAAACTTGGGGTGGGAATATGGGGGAAAGTTATAAAGTTACATCTTTATCCAATTAATTTCCTTAAATGTTTATTTTATCTATTATTGGCATGGGTCGGGGTGGAGGCACACTCTTTACATGCTATGGCGCACTTGTAGAGTCTAGAGGTCAGAGGCCTCCTCTCAGATTGTTCTGGACTTCCACCTGGTTAGGGTGGGTCTCTCTGTGTCTCCTGTACCGTGCACAGACTCGCTGGCCTGGAAGCTTCTGGGCAGTTCTCTTACATCTGCTTCCCATCTTAGGGTAAGAGTTTTGGGGTTACAGATGTGTGCCACCACCACTTGCAACTTGATAGCACACGCCTTTAATTCCAGCATTTGGGAGGCAGAGGCAGGTGGAACTCTGAGTTTGAGGCCAGCCTGGTCTACAGAGTTAATTCCAGGGCAGCCAGGAAGACACAGAGAAACCCTGTCTCAAAAAGGGGGGGAAGGGTGGAGGAAGAGGGCAGGGGTTAAAACAGATCAAACTCGGACCATCAGGCTTGCTTGGCTGAGCTGCCCAAATGGTTCTCAGTCTGAAGAATTAGGAATTCTTCAAAGATGGAGAAACCTGGCAGATATTTCAGTTCCTTATTATACAACCAGTAAGATTCCAGACAAGGAACAGTCTGGTAGAAAGATAAATTTATAATAAACGGATTCCAGTCAGTGTGTTAAAAATTCTCAAATCCATGGGAAGTGCAGTGGGCAGATACCAGAAGGCTTGATTAATCCGGTCTGTCCATCTGTCCATCTGGAAGCACTTTCCCTGCTACGACTGGACACGGGTTCATTAGCTGGCATCTGACTTAGGATCACGCATGTGCTGATGCTACCACTCGTGGCTTATTAGTAGCTGCCCATCACTATGTTTGAGGAAGCACTAGAGAAATCTGATTCCCTCCAGCAATAATGAAAAGGGGGCCCTCTGAGAAAAGCGGGTTCACCCAGGAAATGTGTGAGAATTAATTCAGCACTCACTTTCACAGCTTCCCAACAGATGGACCAACACAACTTTTCATAAAACGTGTAGACATGACCAGCTCTGGATGCTCTTCGGAGAGCATCTCAGATGCCAGAGAAGGATAAGCCTGGCTTAACGTTTGTTTTCTTTCCATTTGACCAGCCATGAATTGCTTCAAAACTCCAGCAAGCGACTCTTGGGTGTATCCCACTGTAATACTCTGCTTATTTGGATTTTTCTCCATGTTCAAGCCCGCTGAACCATTCTTAATCCCATTTTTGTCTGAACCCAGTAAGAATCTAACCCAAGCAGAGGTAAGCTAATGGGTATCTATCTTAATAGGGGTTAATTAAATGGGACTTAAACCAGGAGGAAGGGATGTCATTCAACTTACAATAAGATAAAAGGCCTTAAATTCCAGTGAACCCCATTCTATTACATAATAGAACTACCCTTTACTCTTCACACTTACAAAAATGTTAAGCCAAACACTTAATATATATGAAGAGTATTTTAATTTTCAGAGTGTTGGAGTTAGTCTGAATACATAGGAGTTTTTCAGATCTCCATTGGTTCTATTACAGTTACCCTAAAATGAAGTTGTTCTCTGCCTCAGAATTGCCTTCTGAGGAACCGGTAGGCTGCTGGGAATAAGCAGGATGTAATAAGAAAGTGTAATACAATTGCCTGTCACATAATGATGCTTAGTGAATGGTGGAACATATATGCAATGGTGCCTCTATAATTATAACTATAGTTACATAACTATAGTTAAAAGCCATAAAACCCCAGAGAATTCCTGTCACTTAATCACAATGCAGCCAGCTTAAAATCACACCTCAATATTTATATTTGTGTTTATATACCAGCATAAACAAACCTACTGCTCCATCACCCATAAAAATACAACACACACATTTATATATACTATGCAATGTAAAACTTGACAATATGCATTTACTGTCTATGCATTTACTGATACTTTTGTCATTGTCTTAAGATATATTCCCATTTAGCAAAAGTAAAAAGTACCATACTACACCAGCATCAGCCCAGACATCCTGTGGTTATTGTCTCTTTTGATTGCATCATATTCTCTTGTGATTAAGTTAACCTCGTGTTTTATTTATCACGTTCCTAAGAGCAATAGGCAACCTAGCTGGTCTGCATAGTGGGTTATAGTATTTATCGATGTTTCTGGAAGCACTCTCTATAAGATTTGCACAGGAAACAAAGCAACGCATGATTGTGTTCCTTTGTGGCTCTAGCCATTTTTGAAAGGTTATTTAGCAGCAAATGTGACGTAAACAGATTGATTTCCCTGGTCTGCTTCTCTTCCTGGAAGGCCTAATTCCCTTACTTAAGAAGCTACTTCTTACTGGACATGGCAGCACAAGCCTTTAATCCCAGCACTCTGGTGGCAAAGGCAGGTGGATTTCTGTGCCATCAAGGCCAGCTTAATCTACATAGCATGTTGCAATTTAGCCAGGAATATATCCCTCCCTTCCTATCTTTCTCTCTATCTAAAAGCTACAAGAAGAAAATGTACCAACCCAACTAAAACATCACCTAGGCTGGTTTACTATCTCCAAACACAACCATGAAAATGCTGTATGGAACGTGGCATCATCTAAGAAGCTAATTGGTACTGGGTTATCAGTAGGGAATTGGCAAAGACAGAAGCCAAGTTCATTGTGTAAAACACAATGGCTTCGGAGTTTCTTGGATTGAAGCATGTCATACTTAAGACAAAGGTCAAGGTTGGGCCAGCATCAGCTTAACCCACCCACCAGGTTGGCCTCTGCATACACTCTGGCCAAGTAAATAAATTCTCCTTCATAACCACAGGTTAGCTCTGGGTCCTCCTGAGACCTTGGGGGATCCAGATGTCCCTGAGGGGAAGTTCAGTGATTCAAAAGAATGCACTCTTACCCCTCACACTTAAAGACCATTAACAATCTTTTGTATTTGACTTTAAATAGTGATAGACCCACATTAAACTTGAGCAGTCAGTGATGAATCTATAGACATGCACAGGGAAAGAGGTGCTTCAAAACCCAGCAAATTTGAACAGGAAGGAAATGAAATGCATTTCCCTACTTGGTAATCTGACAAAACCGTTTGCTCTTGCTACCAATTGTGTGTGTCCACCCAGGCTTCAGACAGGTGGAAGGCAGTGATGAATCAAGTAAAGAGAGGCTGTTCTAACTTTACATTACAAGCTCTGTCCCTAACATTGGGATGTTTTAAAAATAAATTTTATTTAAACTAGAAACAATCTTATTTTACATATCAATCCTCCCATGCCCTCCACTGACCCCCCCCCCATCCCATCCCATCCACTCTTCCATGAGGGATCATCAAACTCTGTCAAGTCGTTTGGGGCAGTACCTAGGCCCTCCCCCACGTATCTAGACTAAGAGAGTATCCCTCTATGGGAAACAGGCTTAGATTGGGGCTTCTAAATTTTATTTATTTTTATTTCATGTGCCTTTCTGTTTTGCCTGCAAGTACGTCTATTTGACTGTGTCAGATCCCCTACAACTGGAGTTACAGACACCTGTGATCTTCCATATGGGTGCTGGGAATTGAACCTAGGTCCTCTTAATCACTAAACAATATCCCCAGCCCCTTTAAACTGGGTTCTGGTTTGGTATGGATTTTTTTTTTTTTTTTTTTTTTTTTTTTTTTTTGAGACAATGTAGCCTGGGCCGTCCTAGAACTCACTCTGCAGAACAGAATTTTTTAAGAACTCAAAAATCTCAGAAATTCAGAGTATCTAAATTTAAACTTAACTTGAATTTTTCTAACTAATTTACCCAACCATTATATACTAGACTTAAATTTCTTGTATAATGCCGAGGATACTTCCCTAGAACTCTTCTAGTGGGATACACCTAAGGGTGGGAGTTGCTTGCAGCTTTGGTTTTCTTGTCTCTTTCTTTACCAACTCCCCCAGACCCCATGTTGGGCGATTTTTGTTGTTGTTTTCTTTTTCATTTAGCAAGAACACTACTTTTTCTTAGCCATGTACCCATACATTAGTTTTCTATTATTTTTCCCCATAACACGAAGGATTTCTAATTAGATGTGACTTTGAGATGTGCTGTGCTTTCTGGTCACCCCTACATATCAACTCCACAGATGACGAATGAAGTCCTTCCCGTTTGGACATACTCCTACCTGGCGGTGCTACCCCCTGTGTTCATCCTCACCGATTACCTGCGCTACAAACCAGTCATCATATTACACATCGTGGCCTTCATCATTTGCTACCTGCTTCTTTTGTTTGGCCAGGGTGTGATGCCCATGCAGGTGGCTGAGTTCTTTTTTGGGGTCGTCTCAGCCACGGAGATAGGCTACTATTCCTACATATATAGCATGGTCAGCCCTGAGCACTACCAGAAAGTGAGCAGCTACTGCCGGAGTGTCACTCTGGTGGCCTACACAGTAGCCTCAGTGCTGGCCCAGCTCCTGGTATCCCTGGTGACTCTGCCATACTCTTTCCTATTTTACACAACCTTGGCCTGTGTCTCTGTGGCTTTCTTTTTCTCACTTTTTTTACCAATGCCTAAGAAGAGCATGTTTTTCCATACAATGCATGACGGTGACGCCCGTCAAAAGCCCCTGGGACAAGATACTGCCCTTGAGGAAGCTCACAAGAAACACAAGACAGCTCATCCAGAACTGCCTGCCACTTCAGAGACTCCCAGGCACAGAGTGCTGAGCAACCCAGAGCCAGAAAATGTGGCTTTGAGAGTCTTTGTGCATTGGTTCCGAGACCTGAAGGAGTGCTATGCCTCCAAACACCTTTTTTACTGGTCCCTGTGGTGGGCTTTTGCTACATCGGGTTATAACCAAGTCTTGAACTATGTTCAAGTCTTATGGGAACACAAGGCACCCTCGCAAGACTCTTCTATCTATAATGGAGCAGTAGAGGCTGCGGCAACATTTGGAGGTAAGTAGACATCTCTCGCCTCCCCTGCTACCCTCTGAAGGGATTGCTCCAGATGCTAAGCTTCTCCTTGGTGATTAATTAGCTATGACCAGAAAGTAGAGTGATTTTTTTTTATTTTAGTGGGGGTCAGGGAGTATATGCACATATGTTGTGCGGCTGTGTGTTCACAGAAGTCAGAGAAGGACACCAGGTGTCCCTTAAAATGGGGTCTCTAGCTGACCCCAGAACTAGGCTAGTGGCCAGCAAGCCCTAAGAATGTTCCTCTGTCTACCCCCTACAGCAGTGGGATAGCAGGCATTCACAAGCACATCCAACTTTTTAGAGGTGTTCTGGGGATTTGAACTCAGGTCCTCAAGCTTCTTATCTCTTACCCACTAAGCTATCTCCCCACTCAAGGAGAGAAGGCACTGAAAAAATAAGAGTACCATAACTTTTAATGCCATATGTTACAGTTACAAATAACTCCAGAGTAAAAGGCTTAGAAGCAAGCAATGTCTTTCTAGTAGAATCCATAGATCCTAACTCATTATCAAGATAAATGTTGATAATGTGCCCCATTCCTTCAGTATTATGTTCATATGTTTTAAAGTTTGATAATATGCTTTATTCTTAGTTTAAAGGTGAGTGAATCAATATAACTTTTATTTTTATCTTTTTGGTGTGTGCGTGCGTGTGTGTATGTGTGTGTGTGTGTGTGCATGTGTGGGTGTGTGTACACGTGTGGGTGTGTACATGGCACATGTGAAAGCCCAAGGACAACTGAGTAGCATCCTTTGGTTGCCCTCCACATTTTTCTCACTTTTTTAAAGCAGGGTTTCTCATTGGCCTGTAACTCACCAAATAGGCCAGTTTGCTGGAGGGTTCCATTTGTCTCTGCCTCCCCCATCGCTGGGGGGTGCTGGGGCTCAAACTTGGGTCTTCATGCTTGCAAGGCAAGGACTTTACTAAGCCACGCCAGCCCATTGTTATTTTTGTCTTTGTAAGCTTGTGTACAAGTATAATTATATGTTGGTCATGTTGCCCCCTGTGCCTCTGTGCCCTTCCTTTTCATTTCCCTCCTGGTTGTTTGACTTCCTGTTTCATGTTTTGGATGCAGGTATTGTCGGCATGGATCCTCTGTCTGCTGTATAATAGCAAGGCTTTCTTCCCATTTCGTAGGCATCCTCTTCACTCAACTGCCCCCCTCTACCCTCCAGAAACCTTGAATATCACTTGGTATCGTTTGTTGAGTGTTGCCCTTATTTCCCAAGATACATGAGTCAAGACTGTTTGTAAATAGTAAAAGGAAAGGGAGAGTGAAGAACTTTTATTATTAACTCTAGAAAATGCATAAAGGTTTCCAGGACCTTACACAGTTTTCTTAGGAACCTTCACTACTCTAGGTTGCACACCAACAATTTCCAAAAGCGACATTTTTACACAATTTCCATGATGTTAGACTCGGGATTCTAATATCAAAAAGAAGTTTGCCTTTGAAGCATACTCTGTGATAAATATTTACATCCTTGTCAATGGAAACTTTGAAAATGTGTCTTAGGAAGTGGGATATTTCCACACCTTCCTCTACAAAAAGTTTCAGAAATGCACGTAGCATCTGTTTTATTATTGTTTCCCTCTTGGGAGGCTTCAGCTAACTCCTGAAAGCCAAGTCTATGCCAGAATTGGATCATTGAAATTCTTGCTGTTATGGTCAAAATTCTTGGGAAGAATTCCTTTTTAGAGACAGTTCTATTGAAGATCACCTACAGGAAAAAATAACTGAGCAGTTATCAATAATTTGAACCCTAAATACCTTTTGTTCAGTTCAAGAGACCCATAGTTACTAATTACAGTCAGTTCTTCGCCTTTTCAAACTCTGTGTATATATAAGCCTCAAGACAGGTTAGCTGTAGCAAAAGGACTAGACTACTCCAACCCAGGAGTTCAAGGCAATATAAGGAGACCACCTAAAGGTCCCCCAGATCTAGGAAGGAAAGAAAGGAGAGAAGAAAGGAAGGATGGATGGAAGTATGGACAGAGGTGGGAAGAAAGGAAAGAAAGAAAGAAGGAAGAAAATTGGGACAGCTATCACTCAAAAACAAACAATTGAAAACAATAGAGAAATTTACTTCTAAGACATTTCAACATGCTTGCTGTCCGGGGTGTTTTTTAAATGACAGGCTGCTTTGTTGCTGCTGCCCACTCTGCTGTGTTTAGGCACTAGTGTATGCCTGATATGTCATTGATACTAAATAAAAGTATATACATCATTGATATTAAATAAAAGTATAGACATCATTGATACTAAATAAAAGTATACACATCATTGATACTAAATAAAAGTATACACATCATTGATACTAAATAAAAGTATACACATCATTGATACTAAATAAAAGTATAAGATGGAAGTGGTTGAAAACGATAGAAAGTAAGAAAAGGAGAAAAACCTGCTTTAAAAAAAATCCTATTGCCCTACATGTGGAATTGGGGATAGGAGGGGAGTGAGGTCAGGGTGCATGTGAGGGGGCAGAGAGGGTAAAAGAGAGGAAAGGAGGGAGGGAAAGAGAGGGAACTGGGGTAGACATGTAAAATAATAAATTAAATTTTAAAAATCCTTTTTAAAAAATCTTAATTGATCACCTAGTGGATCACCTAGTTTTTGTGAAATGGTGCATTGTTTGTTTGGTGTGCTGCTGTTTTCTTCCTGAAAAGTCAATAGCTTGACTTCTTCCTCTTCCGTGTCTGTTTCCAGGAGCTTTGGCTGCGTTCTCAGTGGGCTACGTGAAGGTCAACTGGGATCTCCTAGGAGAACTGGGTCTGGCCATCTTCTCAGCTGTCATCGCCGGCGCACTGTTTCTCATGAATTACACGCTCAGCATCTGGGTGTGCTATGCCGGCTATTTACTGGTCAAGTCTAGCTATATGTTTCTTATAACCATAGCAGTGTAAGTATCACTGGCCATCCCCCTCTTCTCGGTGGGGTTTCTAAAGGCACTTGGGGAACTTCAGAAGGATCTCAGTGGGTTGCAATGTCAAATGCTAACTCCATATCAAAGGGAATTTAATGCAGCCATCTTTTCATTTGGCTGAATATTGCTGAGTTGTTGAAGGGGGAAAAAGTTGGGATTCTGTGTGAACCGAAAGCAAGGATCCGTGATCTACTCTTGATTTCTTTTTACTTCCAAAGATTTGTCATAATAAAGTATGACGTGATTTAATTTTAAATGCATAGGTTTAGATTTTTATCCCTAACCCCATTTAGTTGTTCCAGAAGTTCTAAGCACATACTTTGCTGTATAAATATTTTTAAGAAAATTATAAAAAGTGGGCCTAGGGAGAAAATGATGCAGAGATGATAAGACCACTTCAGCTTCACGTATAACTTTGAATCCTTTTGTTTTAAATAAGGTCTCTGAAATTTAGAGACTTGTTTCTGCTTTTTAAGAGGTTTTGATTTGGGTGTTTTGTTTTTTGTTTTGTTTTGTTTTTGAAAGAAATTGTTTTAAAGCCTATGGCTTGTATGGATACAGTTAAAACTGACTACAAGAAATTTTCTTTGGGAGCAGTCTATGTATCTCAGTTGGTAAAGTGCTGGCCACATATACATGAAGTTCTGCGTTCAATTCCTAGCACTACACATAAATTGTAAAAGAGATCATTATCAGCTCAGGACCTCAAGACCAAGGTGTTGGCATGACAGAGATGTATTTCCCCCAGTGGGACAAAGGGCAGAGAATAAGAGGTAACAAAGACAGGAGGTAGAGGGCAGGGAGAAGGGGAAGGGAACAAGGGAAATGGAAAAGGGGTATTTGTCCCAAGAGGGAGACAAGGACTGCCTCTGGGTAGAGAGGAGACCAACATGGCCCATAGGAAAATGTCAGTTTATAAAGCTAAAAAAAAGGAAGTCCTGTGTTAGGATGAGGTGTTTAATTTTAATTTGGCATGTTAAATAGGTGAGCCAAAGGGGGCTTTTGATTGTTGGACTTGTAATTCTTTGATAGTTGGATCTTGGTAGTCAGCCTCAGGAGGAGGAAGTGGCCAAATAAGGGAATGAGCCTTGGTGGCCAGCCTTAGGAATGTAATCTAACAGTTTGTAGCTAGGCCAAGGGAATGTGGGAAAAGGTCCAGGTCTGCCAAAACCACATGCTGAGGTGGGCTGGTGTCCCTTCAAACTGGACATGGTAGAACACCCCTGTTATTCAGAAAGTGGATCAGAAGTTCAAGGTCATCCTTGATGCCATAGCAAACTTGAAGCCAGCCTGGGCCACATGGGTCTTGTCCCAGAAAAGGAGAAGAAGGAGGAGGAGAATATAGTTTTCTGTGGTATTAGCCAAAAAGAAATGAGAAACAAGCATTTCAGTTTCAAGCTACATCTGAGAAATAGTGACAAGCTTTATCAAGTTTCATTCTTAATTTGTGAAAACTTTTGATAAACTGTAAAACATTGGAATATGAGTTTCAAGGCAAAAATGGGGAGAGAATGGAGATGTAACTAATTAGCACGTGTTCTGGTTGCATTTCTGTGACTGTGACAGATACTCTGGCAAAAAGCAACAGAGGCTAGGAGAGGATCTGTTTGGTTTATAATTCCAACCTTTTTGGGAGGAGTTATAGTCCAACCTTTTTGGGAGGAGTCATGTTATATCCATGGTCAAGAGCAAAGAGAATAAATATATCCTTGCGTCTTGCTCTCAGACAGCTTTCTCCTCTGTTCAGCTCTCCTGCCTAGGGAATGGTGCCACCCACATCCCCGGGCTAACCTGATCTAGACAGTCCCTCTTTAAGACTCTCTTCCCAGGTGAGACTAAGCTCTATCAAGTTGACAGTTGAAATAACCACCACAGAGAGCTAAGTTTTTTAATGAAATATTTTGGTTTAATGAATCAAACTCAAATCTCTGGTTTCTTTTATTATAATGAGGATGGAAAGGTAGAGCTATTATTATTCCTTTGCATTTAAAAAACATTTAGAGTCCAAAGCCTTTTTTCTACCATATAAGAAATGTGGCAAGAGTTTAAAATCTCTAGTTTAAAACTAATTATAGATGCAGTCATTGCCACAACTATCTATGGTCTTAACCTTTCAAAAAATAATCACCTACCTGTAGGACATTGACAGTAAACTGAAAATATTTTTTAAAAGATCTCAGGTTGGATGATTTTTATAAAACTTTATTGCAAACATGTAAAATACCAAGTGACAATCTATATTCTCAAGTTATAAGATGAGCATTTAAATTTAATTTCTGGAAAGTATTAGATTATGCAGGAGGAATCTTACCCTAGTGCCTTTAATCCTACCTTCAACAATATTTGATTCTTTCTTCTTTGCTCTGCCTATTTGTCTATACTGGATAAGAGGTAAGACATGCCTTAGCAACACTATTTTCAACTCTTGTTTTGTCTTCTTCTGGTTTTTCTTTTGGTTTTAACACAAAGTCTCAAGCAACCCAGGATGGCCTTGAATTTGCTATGTGGGCAAGAATGACCTTGATTTCCTCCTGCTTCTTAAATGCTAGAATTATAGAAATGCATCACCATGTCCAGTTTCAGTGTCTATCCTTTAGATAAGAATTTTATGTATTCAGAGCTGTAGCAATTGCTCAGTGGTTAGGAGCACTTGGCTGCTCTTCCAGAGGATCCGGGTTCAATTCCCACTACCCACAATGGCAGCTCAGAGGTGTCTTTAACTCCAATTCCAGGGGATCCAGTACTCTCACACAGACATAAATATAGGCAAAACACCAAAGCACATAAAATAAAAAGAAAAAAAGGAAAGAGAATTTTATTTTTGCTGTGGTTGTTAAATGCTAACTCAACATTTAACGATAGGTTTCAGATTGCTGTTAACCTGAGCGTAGAACGTTATGCCCTGGTGTTTGGCATAGACACTTTCATTGCCTTGGTGATTCAGACTATCATGACTGTGATTGTGGCAGATCAAAGAGGGCTCCACTTGCCAGTCACCACTCAGGTAAGCCACAGTCCCCATTGACACGACAGATAGCTAGGAATAGAGAGTAACTAGGTTGCTTCCAAAATGTCTCAACCATAAAATTAGCAATGATGAGGGATTTTTAAAAAATCTTTTGGATTGTGGACAGTTTTAAATATTGCAGCCCGTAATTATAATACCAACTAAATTTAGAGCAACTGGATTCATATCTACTTAAAGAAGGCAGGTAAGAAGAAACCTTAGCATTTTCAAGTCATTACACTGAACCAGCCTTCAAACGTGAAACATAGACAGAACCTTGGGAGCTACGGAGGTTTTCCTCCACCACTGCTGAAGTAGCTAGGAGCCTGCTGCAAAGCCAATCTCTTTGTCACTACTCCACGTGCTTACACTGTTAACCTTGGCTCATTTGAGATAGACGAGTTCAGTCAGAATAACCCATACTAAGTTCTGGATCTTGACCACCCCATAATCCAATCAAATTAGGAAGGTTTTATATATTATCAATGATATGAATGGTCAGATTTTATAAGTAGCTAATTGTTCATTTTCTTCCAGTTTTTAGTTTATGGAAGTTACTTTGCTGTCATTGCTGTGGTCTTCCTACTGAGAAGCACATACATTATCTACTCGGCCAAGTGCCAAAAGGAAGAAGAGAGCCTTGTTGCCACTGAGAGTCCCAATGAGCCACACCCACAGCAGCCAAGAGATGTGTCGACAAAGTTCTAATGCAATCACATCAATTCCAGTCACAAAAGGGTAGGGTTTCAAGATGGGGCATACAGAGTGCTTTGCCACACCTAGACACTCTGCCAATATGGACTCCAAAACCACAAACAAGCTTCGGCCTCAGACTAGATGTCTTTATGCCCAGCTAATTGCAGGCACTCCATATAGACCATCACAACTGTATTAGGATGCTATAACTTCCCTCCATTATGGAAGGGAAGGCATGAGTGCAGGAGAAAGGTTACTGGGCACATTGCATCTGCAATCAGAAAGCAGAGGACAATGAAAGCTGGTGTTCAGATCACTTTCTCCTTTTTATTCAACATATCACCCCGGAGCCAGGGGGATGGCGCCACCCACATTCTAAGTGAGTCTTCTCACCTCACTTAACCTAATACAGATAGTCCCTCACAGATAGCCAAAGAAGCTTGCATCTTCAGTGACTGTATCAATATTAAGTATCAATAGTAACAGCTGAACCCTTGTTCAGAACTCCCTTGAATAACAATAACCTGGAAACCCTGGTTCTGATGAGTTCTAAGAACAAGCAAAGGGCTTGGGAACAAGTCATGAAGAAACATAAGCCTCCTAAAGATTTCGATCGCTGAGTGAGTGCAATGACTGGGTTTGGTCCCATTTCTGAGAGTCCCTCTTTAACTCTGAAAATACCAGCATCCTTTTCATGTTATATGTGGGTAGTCTCACCACTATTTTCTTTCATCTTGTGGTTTCTTCTGGACTTTGTGTTGGAACTCTCTCCCAGAGATCACTCGAGATGTTCCAGTGTGTCCTTGGAATGCCCTCACATCAGTTCCCAATGGCCTTCTGCTCACCATGACCCTAGATAACTATTTGATTGATGAGTGTAGGCCACTTCCAAAGGAAATCCCAGAGTTTTCCAGCCACTTTTTTATACGTAAGAAAACACTTGCAGAAATTAGATACTAATTGTTTAATTTATGTTTATGTTTGGTGCTAAGGATCAAACCAGAGCCTCACATATGCCAGAGAAGCTCCACACCACTAAGATAGATCAACCCTTGGGCACATGCTTAATTTTTAAATGTCAGAAATCATGTTCAATAAAATATTAAAATTTTAAAAGAATCCAAATGTATGAATTTCTCCATTGTCTAAGAATTTCTGCCATCTGAAATGCAATGGAATATTTATTGAACAGTCTGCTGCAGAGGCAAAAGGAATACTGATTTAGGGTTTATAATTTAAATATGTTTTCTTCCAAATTCTAAAAATCATTCAATGGGATTGAAAAAAAAAAATCTCAAAGGCCTAAACAGCAATGTCTTCTTAACTGATACCCTTACGAAAAAATACAACCCATTTTCCTCCAGAACTAGTAAAAGTAATTATTGGAAAGATAAATAAGAACTATGTCTCAGCCCTACAGGAGACATCTCCATCAAACCCCGCCCCTCAGATCTCGGGGAACCCCTTGGAACAGGAGGCAAAATGGTGTAAGAGTCAGAGGGAATGGAGGACACAAGGAGAAGAAGGCCCTCATATAGACTCACAGAGACTGAAGCGGCCTGCACCGGCCTGCACCAGGTCCTCTGCTTGAATAGTACAGCTTCCAGTTTAGTGGTTTTCATGGGATTCCTGGGTGTGTTCAGAAGCAGTGGGTCTCTGATGCCTATGCCTTATCTTAGCATCTTTTCCTTCTGTTGGTCTATCTTTTCCAATTTCAATATTCTATTTTATTTTGGTTTTTTTTTAAATGAATGAGCAAAGGCCTAACCTCTAGGCTAGAGTAAAATTTAAGGAAAACCAGTTTTCTCCAATAAAGCAACACTGGGTATATCAACCGCTCCAGGATGGACCTCATGTTCAGGAGTAGCTGACCAATATATAATGAGCGCCAAAAGTTCCTATGTATATGGTTTTATTTGGTTATAGCTGGTGTTGTGTTTCTTTTTTCTTTTTTGGGGGTGTGGCTTTGTTTTGTTTTCTTTGTTTCTGGGTATTTTGTTGTGTTGGGTTTTTACTTGTTGTTTGAGGAAAAAAATAGGTGGGTAGAGAGGTAGAGAAAAATCTGGAAGGACTCCAAAAAGAGAATAATGTGATCAAAATATAATTAAATATAAAAACTATTTTAAGTAATAAAAAATAAGAACTGGCCCAGGAAGATGGCTCCAAGTTAGGCAATCACCAAGCCTGACTGACAGCTTGAGTTCTGTCCCAGGAGTCTATCCAGTGGGAGGAGGAAACCGTCCCTGAAGTTGCTCTCTGGCCACCACACAGCACACCTTCCTATGTGTATGCAAACCCCTGTGTGTGCAAACACACAAAATTAGTAAATAAATAAATGTTTAACAATTATCTAACAACAGAACCAACCAAATGCCTTTTAAAATGGACAAGGGAGTTTCCAGGCAAGATGGTGGGCTAGGAACTATCAATTTTATGCCCCAATGAAAGAGAAAACTAAGGAAAGAGTTAGGATGGGAGGGGATACAGACTATACAAAAAAAAAAAAAAAAGAAGAAGAAGAAGTAAGAGAGGAAGGTTCTTAGAAATACACAAAGGTTAGGACACCCAAAGCTTGGGAAAGAGTAAACGGGTGGTGCATGGAGGTGGGCTGGGCAGGGGAAGCCAAAAATACATCCACAGGCAGCCCCAGCAAGGACCCTGGCAGCCATACCCTCATGCCAAGCTCACAGTTCCCATAAGCCTCAACCCAGTTGCAGATTTGACAGGGGCAGTGATTCCTCCATTGGGTGATTGATAGGGGGAAATCTCATTCCGAAGCCCCGAAAGGGACAAAGACCAACCAACCTCCAGCCTCACTGCACTACTCACCCTGAGCTGAGGCCAGCCCCCTCTCAGACATGGATGCCTGGGGAGTGGTGAGCTGGAGATAGACCAGCTGGGCTGGCATGTCCTGCCCCACATAGGGTCAGCCTAGCTGTTGAAATGCTCTCCCCTCTTTCAGATGCTTGGGAGGAGCAAGATGGAAGAGTGACGAAGCTGGGCTTCTGGAACTGTGTGGGCTCAGCACAGTGTTTGGGAAGGCAATATACCCAACAAGGAAGGGGCACTGACCGAGGCTGGAAATACCTTCCATTTCTTTCTATTTCCTATTTCCATGTTTACATTTATTTTTATCTGTGCACCGATACTTCAATTGCTTGTTTTGTGTGAGCTTGTATTTTTCCAGAATGTGTTTTTGTGACTGTCTTGTCCTACTCCTACTCTGTTTTCTCTTACTGCTCATACCGACAGGCCACCTTCTATTCCCTTATCATTCATACTCTATTTTCTCTTCTCCTCCCTTTTCCCATTCTTTCCTTGTTTTACTACTTAATCATTAATATCTGTCACTATAAAAAAAAAAAAAAACTTCCAACTACGTTTTCCCCACCCAGTACCAAAGTGCTGCTATCTGAAACTTCTTGGGGACACAGGTATCTTGAAGTATATGTTAACACCAAAGCTGCTGTCAAGCCATTGTATCTGTTGTTCCCTTCTGTGTCCCTACTCAATAGTAGTGGGGAAGGAACATAGATCCAAGTAAATAAAACAAACAAAAGCATCAAAGGAGGACAAAGATGAATGGAAGGCCACTCCTATCCCAACAGATACATAAAAGACAAGGGTGGTGAACAGAATGGCTTGTTCATTTTGCCCAGTATCTCCTCCTCCTTCCTCCTCTTTGGGTCCTTGGATCTCTACACTGTTCTGACCCAAGAAATGTAACATACAGAGGATACAATTTTCCTGTGTGCATGTGCGAGAACACACACGTGCATGTAGATTGGTTCATGTGTGGGCAAACACATGTGCATGTGTGTGCAAGTGTGGCAAAAAGTTGACACTGGGAGTCTTTCTCAATCACTTATTTGTTGAGGCAGGACCTCTCACTGAACCTGGAGCTCACTGATTTAGCTAGACTGGCTGACCAGCAATCCCCAGGCATCCTCCTGTCTCTCCGTGCTGGAATTATACGTGTGTAGCACCACTCCCAGCTCTTTACATGGTGTCAGAGATCCAGACTGGGTTTTTGTACTTGCCAGGCTAATGCTGTGCCCCCTGGGCTACCTCTTCAGCCCTCAAAACAAGTTTCATCCAAGTGTTTTTAAAGTGTTCAGCATAAAGCTGTAACAGCCGCTGGGTACTGCATCGTGAGTAGCTCTCATCCATCAGCTTCACCTCCAGCCTACAGCATGCCTGACATAGCTCAGTTGACTGGACCAGTGCCTTGCTCTGGATTCTATCAAACGGGCTTCTGGTACCATCAATACTACATGACTTTGGCGTGAGATTAGATTTCTGCTATATTAGAAATGTCTTTAAATGTAATTCCTTCAAGATTTCATTTCAGTGATAGCAAAGAAATGCACACTGGAGATCATAAGCATTTTAAATCTAAGCTTTATTGTCTAGGTTCCCTTTTCTTTCTAATAATCGTATATGAATGTCTCATGAAAGATTCAAATAGGCAGGATATGTCCAAGTATCTCAAGCTAACCCAAACATTACCTTACAGGGCTTATATTTCCCCCCCCCTTTTTTTTTTTTAAAAAAAGTGATTTATTTGCTTTTTTGCTTTTACATTTACTAAATGTATACTCAGCTGCTTCTTGAAAATACAGTAAGTTTTTAGGAAGAGAAGATTAATAGCTTACATAAGCTGCTGTGAACCAGTTAAATAAAGTGAGTCAGAAATGGCCTTGCATTGTCTCCGTGTTTAAAACTCATTTACACATAGCTTGCCCTCTACCACTTCTCAAGTGTTGGGATTATACATGCATGCTGCCATGCTCAGCTCCCACCATACATCCTTATATCACAAGTTATCTAACCTTGTAGATAAATCTTTCTTTCTTTCTTGAACACTCAACAGATACATAAGTGTTGACTTGCTTTATGATAAAAATGATGTAGAATTGCAAGCCATTAGAGTCATTATCCCAGCTACAGGGGAGCTGAGGCAGGAGGATTCCAGGTTCTAGGCCAACCTGTACTACAGAGTGACTCTGGGTAAGTGTGTCAAATAGCAAACTTGGGATATCACTGAGTGGAAGAGAGCTTGCCTTGAACATGTGAAGAGCCCTAGGTTCAATGCTTACACACACACACACACATATACACACACACACACACACAAGGCCCACCTGTAATTTCAGTGTTCAAGAATAGGAAATAGGGAATCCAGCGGCAAGCTGGCTAGCTAGACTAATGAAACTGGTGAGTTTTGGATTAGAGATAGAGAGAATCTGACTCAATAATAATACATAAAAATGAAGTGGAAAGTGATTGAGAAAGACACCCAACATCAGCCTCTGACTTCCAAATATATGTACATGCATACATATGTCCCACATACATGCAAACACAGGTCCCCAGACATGCACATGCAAAGAAATGGAGATGATGGACATGAAGATAGAGATGGCAAGAAAATTCACCATGTCTGAGAAAAAAATAACAGGTCATACATGGTTCCAGCTTGTTCGGTCCTGCTTTTTGTGTCTGTTTAAACCTTGACTTGTGTGAGATATTAAGACTTGGTTTTAGAAGTTGGAGCTGGAAAGGCATGTAAATGTGCCTGAGGGCCTTTAGAAGAGGTACACACAATGGCAGGGTGGGTGAATAAGTCAGGGAAGTATTGATGGTGAGAGATGGAAACGTGGCAGGTGGCTATGGATAGGACAGGTTCCCAGAAGGCTTCCAAACAACCCTATACTTACATTGCAGTATTCTGACATATATGCCACAGCGAGATCATTGCTGTCTTCCTCACCCCCGCCAACTCCATCAGCTTGATTAGTACCTTCTAGCATATTGTAAACTAGCAGACAGGAAGAGATTCTTGGTCAGGTGGAGACTGACTTCTTACTGTTCTGTAATCAAGGTGGTGGCGGCATCTTCAGCATTACGATTTTATCATTTAGTTGTATGGACAACGAAGGACAATGCTAATAGCCTGCATTATTTTGTGTGCCCCAGGGCCTCCCTGAACAATTAGTTATAGGGAGTCAAGCTATGCCTGGTACTGAGAATTTCTTCAAATAACTGACGTCTTCTGGAAGCACTGTTGTCCGCCAATGGGGAAACCGCCAACACAACTCTCATTTTCATATTGTACATTGATTGGCTTACAAATTTGGAGATGTCCCTAAGGCTTCCACACACCCCCTTAGTTTTGGTTAACTAACATCTTCCACTGATCTACCCCATCTTCCTATATTGTTTTATTCTTAAAATAGATGTCAGATGTGGTTACAAGAGGAAATAGGAAAAGCTCAGTGAAGCAACAAAGGTTTATTTTTCCTAGAATTCTGGAGAGATGGAGTGTTTGCACACCAAGAAGAGACTCACATGGTAGGGAACAACAGGCGACAAAGCCCAGCCAGCCAGGCTGAAGAGAGGAGTGAGAGCGTGTGATGGTGCAATTTACAAACAAAAGGTACCAGTGGGTTCTACCTGTGTCTCTAAGAGCTAGTTCTCGGAGGTGAACAAGGACAACTTGTGTGGCCAATACTAACTTTACAGAGGAGCATCTGACTACCTGGATGGGGTACTCAAACTTTCCAAGACAGAGTAGCATGGCCATTTAATGTACGCCTGTTGAGATGGAACTCCTTTCACCCAGTGGAAAGACAGTTTAGAGACTGGAAATCAAATGACACACAAGAGTCGCTGTTTGGGGTGGATTTACTGAAGTTTATTGAGCAAGAAGAGCTTTGTGATTACAGACATGGCAATGAAACGGAGAAACATGGCATTGGCGCAGAGTTAGAGGCATTGTAGGAAGTCATAGCATAACCTACCCGGACTACATCTACTACAGTCAGGATTGAATGACAACTGATGGGGAAGGCCTTGGGTTCATTTATTTGTTTGGTGACTATTGAGTGTTGGCAGGATAATAACAACTATGGAAATGCCAGGTTGCAATGGCAATGAGCTGCTTCATGCTGGTGACTCACAATCCCAACAGGAGCAGACAGACAGATGAACAGACAGACAGACTCACCTCTATCAGTTGGCTGAAGCAGAAGCCCAGAGGCCAGCAGCCATCCTAGCAGCAACACTTCTTGCAGCCACACTTCTGCTGGCAGCAACACTTCTGCTGACAACAGCCCTTCCCACAGCCACAGCCACAGCCACAGGAGCCACAGCCACAGGAGCTGCAGCAGGTGCGGCGGCAGCAGCAGACCACAGGCTTGCAGCAGCCACAGCAGCCACAGCAACCACAGCAGCCACAGCCGCCACAGCCACAGCCACCACAGCCGCAGCCGCCACAGCCGCACCCGCAGCCACCACAGCCACAGCCGCCACAGCCACAGCCGCCACAGCCACAGCCACCACAGCCGCAGCCTCCACAGCCACAGCCGCCACAGCCACAGCCGCCACAGCCACAGCCGCCACAGCCACAGCCGCCACAGCCACAGCCACCACAGCCGCAGCCTCCACAGCCACAGCCGCCACAGCCGCAGCAACCCATGGTGTCAGTAGAGAGGACTCAGGTGCAGTGAGGAGAGAGACTCGGGAGAGGAGAGGGAGATGTGATGCCTCCCCCTGCTGGGGGAGCCCCTTATGTACCAGTCTAGGAGGAAGGTAGTAGTGTGACTCAAGACACATGACAATAGATGTTTCCTCATTCTTATTTATCCTAGGGTTCAAAAACACCCTGGAGTCATTTCTCAGGTATATCCTTACTAGAAACATTTGACTTAATACAAGAATTAAATGTTGAAGCTCCCATTTACATGTTAAGAATCAGACCCTGTAGACTTGTGTCTGTGCAAGAAAAGAGCTAAGGATGCCCTCAAACTGGATGTGATGCGGGGAAGAGAAATCAGGGGAGGACAGAGGTGAGAAAAGAACAGAATAACTCAGCATGCACTTATTTTCTCTCTCAGAGAAAAGTCGTTCAACTTCTGGGGGTTCACACGCGTGGGAAAGACTCGACTGTGGAATGCTCAACTTCTGGGGGTTCACACACGTGGGAAAGACTAGACTGTGGAGTGCTCAACTTCTGGGGGTTCACACGCGTGGGAAAGACTCGACTGTGGAGTGCTCAACTTCCAGGGGTTCACACGCATGGGAAAGACTCGACTGAGAAGTGCTGTGGAGCTACTGGCAGTACGGACGATGCTGGCTACCGAGCATGCCCAGGGCCAAAATGGCAAAGGATAACTAATGAAGGTATTCAGGGCTTAGGACAGCTAGTCACGAATAGGACTCAGTCAGAAATGCAAGCCATCCTCCGAGCCACTGGCATCACCAGAGAGAGTCAGCTGGTGGCTGCATCCAATCAACCAAGCAGCGCTGGGTCTTGAGTGGGGCCCAGAACAGGCTGTAGCACTGTGAGGCACTTAGCTTACTCCATTATATTCACAAACTGTCTGGATCCTTGTTTCATAAATGTGTACCATACATAGGCTGGGAAATTGACCTGAAGAAAGCATGTCTTATTTACAGCAAATGATTACTACCTCCAGACACAACATGGAAAACACACCTCCTCCCAACAGATGTAAACATCATCCATTGCATCATCCATACCTCGTAAACTTATTTGCAAAGATGAAGATAGTATTGCAGATAGACAGAACACAATTATCATAATTATGAAAAGCATGTGCAAATGAACTTCATTACGTAGTGTCCCTCCAAAATTTGAAACCCCAGTGTAGGCCTGGAGACTGTACCTTTAAAGAGATAACTAAAATTAAATAAGATTATTCATGTGGGGCCCTAATATGATAGAACATTTCAAGAGGAAGGAAAAGAAAACATTAACACTCTTTTCATGTGCACAGGAAAGATCACATGATGACACAGCAAGAAGAAGTGTCCACAGTGCTGGAGGAGGCACCACCAGACACAAATGGGCACTTTGGGGGCCTTAAGCATGGTAGTATTCCACACGAAACTGCAAATCCTGACTGCACAGAAGAAAGCCTAAAAGAGGTCAGACAGACCCTTTCCTAGGAATTCAGTGAGTACTTCATGCAAAACAGATACAAGTCCAGGTCTTGCAATTAGCTTCTTTTTAATCAAGAGACTTAAAAGGACACCCTTCAAATTTATATTGTGCAGAAAACAGAAATTACCCGACTTAGGGAATAAGGGATAGCTCCAGACTTCTTTAGCTGAGGAGGTGGGAGGAGGGATGTCAGTTCCTGTCACCTCTGATGAGCAGCTCACACCCATGTATATCTCTCACTCCAGAGGATCTAGTACCCTCTTCTGGCCTCCACAGGCACACACGCACGCACACACACACATGCACGCACACACACACACACACACACACACACACACACATGCTCAAACAGACTCACACACTCATACACACTCACACACAGGCTCACACTCATACACACACACACGCTCACACAGACTCACACACTCATACACACTCACACACAGGCTCACACATACACACACACATGCTCACACAGACTCACACACTCTTACACACTCTTACACACTCACACACAGGCTCACACTCATACACACACACGCATGCACACACACATACACACACACATGCTCACACAGACTCACACACTCATACACACTCACACACAGGCTCACACGCACGCACACACACACACATGCTCACACAGACTCACACACTCATACACACTCACACACAGGCTTACACGCACGCACACACACACACATGCTCACACAGACTCACACACTCATACACACTCTTACACACTCACACACAGGCTCACACTCATACACACACACATGCTCACACAGACTCACACACTCATACACACTCACACACAGGCTCACACTCATATACACACACACACATGCTCACACAGACTCACACACTCTTACACACTCTTACACACTCACACACAGGCTCACACTCATACACACACACGCATGCACACACACATACACACACACATGCTCACACAGACTCACACACTCATACACACTCACACACAGGCTCACACGCACACACACACACACACATGCTCACACAGACTCACACACTCGTACACACTCACACACAGGCTCACACGCACACACACACACACATGCTCACACAGACTCACACACTCATACACACTCACACACAGGCTCACACTCATATACACACACACACATGCTCACACAGACTCACACACTCTTACACACTCTTACACACTCACACACAGGCTCACACTCATACACACACACGCATGCACACACACATACACACACACATGCTCACACAGACTCACACACTCATACACACTCACACACAGGCTCACACGCACACACACACACATGCTCACACAGACTCACACACTCGTATACACTCACACACAGGCTCACACGCACACACACACACACATGCTCACACAGACTCACACACTCATACACACTCACACACAGGCTCACACTCATACACACACACACATGCTCACACAAACTCACACACTCTTACACACTCACACAGGCTCACACTCATACACACACACACATGCTCACACAGACTCTCACACTCATACACACACACATGCTCACACAGACTCACACACTCATACACACTCACACACAGGCTCACACTCATACACACACACACACACACACACACACTGATAACCAACTTTCTTTGCTGCCCAAAGCATCATTTCTGCTCGATTTAATCATGACCCAGACTGGAACAGACATCTCATGCTTCTATTTAATGTACAGGGACATTTTCTGCTGTTATAATAATAGTCATTTAGACATTTGTCATATTGGAATGTGTATTAAATTAGAGTAAATGCACAAATTTCCATTTCTGGGTATCCAGTGTTGGTAGACCCATCTCCATACCCTTATAGCCAACAGATTAGTAGGAAAACTAGAATGAAATGACAGGTTATGGAGGCTGTAAACTACTGATGTCAGAACAACAGGCATTCATGGTCATGAGAAGCAAATCACCTACAAAGTTTGTAGCCCTTGCTCAACTTCTTTGGGCCTTTGGAGAAAGGATTCAGGACAGCGAGAAATACTGGGAATCCAATGGTGGTCACTGGGCACTATTGTTCAAGGACTGCACCTGAGTTTCTCTTCCATAAGCATGGTGACACATAAAGATAAACAGAATTATGGAGGTGGGAGGCCAACTTACCCTAAGCCAAGTCTCAAAAGCCTTGGAGTCTTGTTGGAGACCACAACCCACACTCTGTCTCTTCTACTTGCACAGAATAAAAATCATAGGCGACATTGTCACTTATTTTTGTTCCCTTCATGATCTCCATTCCCTTCTCCATTTGAGAGCCAATATGAGGACACCTCTCCTAGCAGGAGAATGCTTTCAGGCTCCTGACCAATAAGTAAAGTCCCCATTGACAATTGTGTCTGTGAGCTGCCCTGCCCAAAGAGAGAAGAGCTTGGAACTGCATAGGAACACAGTCCAAGAAGGGAGTTATGTAAGGAGAATTCTGAGTGCTTATGAGAAAACTCAAAAAAAAAAAAAAAAAAAAAAAGACAACAGTTTTATGACCTCAGTTTATTCAAAACATGGAATTGTTCTTGGGTCGTGTTTGTGTGTTCCTCCCAGGACTAGCAGATAGGAGGGAGCTTACTTATAGATTATTCATTACAATTGACTATTGTTATTATTTATTTTCATGCCTCTATAGAAAAACATGGCTCTGCCACCTGTGGCTTGCCTGTCTCTTGCAGCTTGTCCTTGTGATTGGAAGTGTGATTCTTCTTAACCCCTGGAGTATAAACTGTCGATGCTCTGAATGAAGTTGGCTATTGCATGACACTTTAGGATGCCGCATTTATTGGCTCCATTTCCTCGGGTCCCACCACCTCTTAGACCAATGACAGACCTGGCGTCAGCTGCCAACAGCAAGCTGAAAGGGGCATCTCCTGAGCTATGTCACCAAAAAAAAAAAAAAAAAAGTCCACCAGCCATTATCAAATAAAGGGAACGGGGCAACTGGACTTTGGCCTAAGAGATTAAATTGTATTTGAGGTCCTGGAAAAGGTGGCTCTCTATAGGAAAGTAATTTGTCAAAGGGTGGAGACACAGACAACTTTGGAGCTGTGTCATAGAAGACAAGAGGAGTGTGTGTTCCAGGAAGAGAGACGTGACCTTGGAAAAACCCTGGGGACGAGGTGGAAGTGGAAAGCTGGGGGCATACCACAACTGGTCACTAACAATAATGGGTGCTCAGAAAAAAATCAGAAAACACATTTTCCCAGACATTGTGGACAGAGAGCAGTGATATCACACATGGATCAATAATGCTCTCTTCCACTGACCCATGGAGAGGAAGAGGTTTTACTAATCTGGAATGCTGGACTCTGGTTTGACCCCTCCTATCTGCAGAGTAATCAAAGCACTCTGGGCCCCTTTGCCGCGTGGAGGCCTAAAGCAGGCATTATCTCCAGGGTCTATCCTGTGAACTGACACTGTAGCTGATTGTGGCAGCCTCCTGATGTGGCCAGGTAGAGGCCACCATCCTAGACTCTGATGACTAAGTCCTTTCC